CCGCCGCCCCCCCCCCCGCCCCCACCCACCCCCACCCCCCCACCCACGCCCACCCCCGCCCCCACACCCACACCCACACCCACACCCACACCCACACCCACACCCATCCACACCCACACATCATTGATTGCTTTTTGATTTTGCTTTATACTCTAATATTGCAGAAGAAGCTAGGACGTAATCAGTTCTTGAAAAATCACAGAAGTGTGAGTCCAAGGAGTGATTCACGATATTCAAACTATCCGATTCTTACCGCGTTCTTGAATTCTTACAAGACATGTTTCGATTCAGCAATCCAAGGCTACTGCCAAATCTAACGATATTGAAATAGCAGGAAATCGCGTAGTAGCCTTGAATGGTTCAATCAAAACTGGTCCTGTAGAACTTGAAAAACCGAGAGTTTTTCGACAATTTCAAAATATAAATTCCTAAATTGCTGGGCAATCATCAGCAGAATCATAATACTACCTCGGGAAGGAAGGACTTTACCGTAGTTCCTAAACACCAAAAATAATACAATAATCCTTTACTTCGAGTTTTCAGAACTGGAGAGCTGTCAGAAAATTTTGGTAGGAATTTCTATATCTCAACTCTTGGACACTGGTGAAACGTGTAACACACTTCCTGTAGGATTAAAATGTGAAACGTAATGGGGTGACTCTATTGTATGACCAAAATCTTAGCATATCGACTAGTGTTGACATCGACAAGATACACAATCAGAGTGATATGTATATCGATCTGTGAGGCTATAATATCTGGCTGTCACTATCAACCTAGCGAGTGATCAGAGATTCACTATGTCTCTATATAAATATTTAAGAACTAGCAAATTGTTTTTGAGTAAAATTTTAAAAGAAAATAAATAGGTAAATATTCAAATAGAAGCTTGTCAGAGAAAGTCTGGGCGAAGTTAGAATGGGATGCTCGCAATCGCTTACACGTAGAGCTCGAGAGCACATTCTAGTGAATCAGAAATCTCTTTCAAAAACGAAAATGGAACGAATCAACTTTACTTTGAGCTTTCTGTACATTTCGACAATTTTCTAACTTCTGAGCTCATCTAAGAGTTTTTCGTTCTTCTTCAGTCATTATTATGCTGCAGTCGCCCATTTCTTTTTCAATTCGTTTTTGTTAGTGATGATTTCTTTTGACTTTGATTCTATGTTTGTATTCATTCCACCATCGCCCAGCGTGGAAACTCGCGAGCGTTTATAAAAAGTGTTCTATAAATTGAATCGGCTATTCTTGCCGTTTTATATGAGTGCTCGACAATTTTCACCCAACGACTTTTTGAGCATTTCTCATAATGCCATCTTAGCCACAGTGAATAGCTGGAGATAATTTATGTGAGTACTCTGAACAACATTTACGGAGTCGATATGAAGCTTAGAATATTCAATTTTCTGATGCTTCGAAAGACTAAGTATGTTCAAAAAGAGGCTTTACATTTCAGAATGTCTGTTACGGTCAGTCACCTTAAATAATAATACATCATTGATTAATAATTATTAAGTAACTAATGAAGGAATTATTGTAAAATCTCAATATAATAATAATCAATCAATAATTAGTAATAAAATTAATAATTAATAGCTAATAATAATTATATGAAGAATTAATGGTAAATTAAATACACCATTTCGTCTATCTGTCACAATCTGTAGGAGGAAGTAGTGAAACCAAATTTCTTGTTATGCAACCTCAACACTTGTCATAGCGAGAATTTCCGACGTCAGATAACTATACTCTTTTCAACCGACAAAGTTGGACATCAAGAACATCGACTCAGAATTAAGACACACTTATGTCTGGTGCTAGTAAGAAAAGACGTGCCATCGATGCAAGCAGTGGTAGTCAATCAGTGTATGTTCTCCAGAAGCGGTAAGGATCAGTACTATCATTATCACTGTCAATGAGTCAATTAGCTAATAGATGATAACTTCGAAGCTTCTCGACTGTCATTACACGCTTGCTTTTACCATGCACAGGCTTGTATTCCACAGATGATAAGGATCCATTTACTATTGAAAGCGCCAACACTTGAATCGTCGCTTTACTAACCACAACAATTACAATCGATATTGATGTGGTCAAATCAAACGTTCTATCGGCGTCACTTGATGGTGCCCCTACACATCGTCTCGTACTTTTCGTCTTTTACAATTCGTCCCAATTCCATCTTATCCCATTATTTTACTAAGATCAACTCTAGAGGTATTCAAGAATAGGCATTATTTAAATACATAGTGTTGTCTCTTGTGAATCATCACGGTTTAAGAAGACAATGAAGAATGAGTGGATATCTATTTCATATTCTATATTATCGAGAATCATTTCATATTTGCCATTGGTTCACGCTCATTAGTGGTTTTTGTCATGTCGAACAAGTTCACGACATATTTAAAACAATGAATACATTGTGTTGCTAACGAGTTCTTGAGGAAATTGAATGATATAATTTTTGGATAGCTCTGCAATCAGCATAAAATAATAGGAGAAAAAGCTATATTTTGTTGTGACGATCGAAACTGTACAAGTAATTAGACCAAAATTTAGCTTATAGTCCGGAATTACTATGCGCGGATTATATAAGACTTGCCACGATCGAAGGATACCGTCGAGATATGGCGTCATGGATTCAGTAATCTCTTTTAAATCAAGCATCTATATAGCCCTAAACTTGCTAAATCTATCTTACGTGAACAATCTAAATTTGAGATCGATATTGAACGACTTTCTGTAGATGAGCAACCAAAGAAAAAGAAAAAAGTTATTAAAATACTGATGCAAGATTTAAAGAAATCGCGTCGTCTTATGATGCTCACAATATTGAAGAACATTTAACTCGAATTACAATGAATTTGAAAATAAATAGTTACATTTGGAACGAAATATAGGGAGACGAAATATGATTAGAACGATTTGCCATGTACCAAAATGAACGGTCACCAACCTCATCTAGGTATGCTTAGCGGGAATATTATCGACTACAGTAATTTTGGAATAACTGAATGGTAAGAATCGAGATTAAATTGATGACTGTCTTCAATGGAATGTTGTCATAGTGATCTGCTCCAAGCCCTAGTTTTTGATTTATTAAAGTCGACTACATTTTTAAATATAGTGCAGTGGAAGTTCGAGGAATAAACTGTTCTGATGCTTGGCAGACAGTAAATTTCGAAAAGCCGATTAAGTCACTCATCCACCATGAATTTAGGAGATGAAAAGATGTTCTTAGTACGTGTTTCTTTGATATAACTATGAATACTCTTTGTTTGTAGATAATTTTATAAAAACACCTTTGAATCAATAGAACAGTTATCACTTTCATTGAACGATTGAAAGATTCAGCGTAAAATGGCAGCTGTGAGCATCATTCTGATCTTAATGAATACATGGCTCTTTACATGTGGGAATAAGTGCGCTACTCAGCCTGGCAAGTGTCGGTTCTTCCGCTTACATGGTGATATCAACCGTGATCAAAAGAGTAGATTAAATGCATTTGGTGAGAGCCTTACAACAGAAAAAGTCTTGTCAACCACAGATCCTGGTTCTCTTGTTCATGTTAGAATGAGCTCCAAAGTCAGCGTTAATTTAGATGAATTTGCCACGGATGAAGCCACCTTGAATTCGATTATTGCCGAATTATTAAAGCCAAATCCACAATTTTGGATTGACCGTATCAAGAAACAGGTAAATCTGGCAACGTTTCGATTCGCTTTTCGCCCACTATTCGTCGATAATAAATATCAGCTCCCACTTACGCAACCATCTCACTGGCATATCGTATTGCACGAAAATCCAAAACATCATCATTCCATTGGTGGCCATGACTTAGTTTACGTGAGCTATACATGGTCAACGCATATTTTGAGTGACTACGAATCGCCAGGTATTAGTGAGCCACAATTAGGCAACATCGGTGGTCAATGGGTCGAACCCTTCATACTACCAGCTGATCCCTACAATCTTATTCAACGAACTGGCTATGCTTGTATGGATGAAGGTAAGATCTTAATAATAATAATTGTGATCTTCCTTGCAAAATTCTTTGAGAGAACATTTACACCACAAAAAAATGTCTCATATATCTTTGATCAATTCTCCCTGTGAATATCGCCCGATGTTAAGTTTTTATCAAGGACATTTTGGGAAATTCAGGTGCAAGGATAATTGGGATTTCAAAATATATACCACAGTTGATACGAGAATGTCAGTTGAAATTAGAATACACGAAATAAATAAAAACAAAAGAAAGAAAGAGAAAGAAAAAAAATTCTTATTCATCTAGCTTTGACTACAGATGCAAAAGCATTCAATTAAAAATTTATTTGTGAATTAAGTCAATAAACACATTAAGTAAAATCTATTACAATATGATTTTTTTTTCGTTTCACTATTAAAAAGAAAGTGCATAAATTTTGCTTGGCAAATTTTGTTTTATCAACAGGTTGTTATTTGGCTTATATGAATTATGTCATAATTCATCATTTGTCTTGCTCATATTATTGTATTATTAGCACATTGAATTATTGATTGTACTTTAAATGCTAATAAGTTTTACTCAATAAAGAATTCAATACTTTCTTATTGATTTGATCCTTATTGATTGATATTTGTTGTTGCGAAATATACCACAGAGCAACAAAAATTATGCGGAACCTTCTTATTGTTTAAGTTACTAAAAAGAGTATTTTTATTTTCTTCACATATCCTTGTAGTGGGCAACAGATCCTAAACCTCGATGTAAGCTTGCGATAGCTAACCATGGTAGTATGATAGGTCATTTCGTGCTGCTATTTGTTAGACTGTTATTCTTGAATAACGTATCGGGTCGATGAATGACCTTATCGGGCTGCATTCTTCATCAGAACTTTTCCCGTTTACGAAACGTTGACTTGGATGGACTTTTTGTAAATCATGAGTGACTGCTGTACTAAGACTCCATTCAAAAGAACGCTCTTCACTGGAGACAATTGTTTATTTCAGGTGATTTTCCGATCCCCAGTGTTCATCCTGAGAAAACTGAATGGTTTTACGACGACACTTGCGAAGCTGAAGATCCATTTATATATTCACCAAATAAAGCGTGCGTCCAGTGCCATTGCTCGCAAACTGTTCGCATAAGCTGTGTTGATGCATTAAAAAAATACGTTGGTTCGGTGAATGCTTCATTTGTTTTCACTCGATTGCCATGGAATCGATCACTAGCAGATCAAATCCGTCTGTTGAGTGATCCTCCGTCAACTGAGCATCCAAATGCAGCGGACCAGAGATTGCTTATTAGCGGCTTAAAAACCGCTTTCATCCAGTATAAATATTTCACTAACGATTCATGCGAATTACATGAGCCATGTATTGGAGGTGCAGGTTGGAGGAGACTACTATTATTTGATTCATCCGACCAAAATGTAGGTGGGCTGGGTTTGATCATTGGACAGATATATACACTGCTCGACAATAATACGCAACTACCTGCCATAGTGACCAATAGAGGTCTTTACCAGTATGATATATGTCACCGACATTACCATTTCAAATACTATGGAACATTTTCAGTGGGAAATTCAGGATTCTCAAATGGAAAACGGGGCTTCTGTATCCAATCAACTGGTCGTCAAGCCAATGCTGAATGGAGTCCAACATGGTCTCCGTTCTACAGTTGCACTTATCAAGGAAACTCTCCTGGTTGGACAGGTTTGTATGCAAGAATAATATCTCTATATATCAGATTGAGATTATGATTTGTACAGTTAGTTCAGTGTGAGATGTACAAATGATTGAAGTGATGATGTCGACCAAAGAGCGGTGTGGCTAGAGACGAAGTTTCTTTGGTGATATGTTTGCCTTCGATTTTTCTATTTTTCATGTCTACACGAAGTTTTTTAAGATTGTACTAATTAGTCAGACAAAGTAATTTAGATGCGATTGATGCTCTTTCAGAAAAAGCTCTTCGTCAAACACTGTTAAAAAGATGTATTACCGCAATACAAACAACAAACGGTTTAGCAAACTACTAAACCAAAAAATATTCTTCCGTAGACACACAAAAAGAACTCATCATCAGAACCTATTCAGATTCTGTAGATGAAGAAAGATTTCGTACGAAAAGCTGATAAATCTCCAAGTTTTTATAGAATATCTTTCGATTTCATACAAAGGCGTCCGGATTTTCTACTAAAGTCAATTGCTTGAATAATTTTTACATCAAAACCTGCTTTCGACTACAGAACCCTACTTACATTCCGTAGACGAGTTCTTTCCATGTGCCTTGAGAAGTAATATTTTGTCTTAGTAAGTTGCTAAACATTTTTTGAGTTCGGTAATACAATTGTGAGATAGAAGGATGGATTGATCGCCAACGATGAATGTGATTCTTAGTCTGACAGGTTTACATATACACCAAGACTTTCACAGATATTCGTATTCTTCAATATTCATTCTCTCATAGAACAATGGTTGAGAGTGAGTTTTAGTGGAGTCATCGAAAGTTTGTTTTTGGTTTTTTGCATACTGAGTTTTTGTAGCTAAATGGCAGAGAGTAAGGTCTCGTATCTTAGGATTTTTGCACTCCATCATCTGACAAGAATTGCAAATGAAATTGTGTTAATAGGGAGGGGGCGGGGGGAGAATGTATTTCGCTAGTACCGTACGCACCATCGACAAATGCAACCCTAATTTTGAAGTATCTTCTAATTTCAAACAATGATTCAGACTGCCTCTGCATGAGCTCGCTCATTTCCACGTAAACAAACCCGCTTACTGCAGCGCTCCTTGTCTAGCCTCCACAGCCATTCTGAAAGGTTCAAGAAAAGTGGTTTTGGCTTGGAGCCACTATATTTCAGTGATGCATCAGATAGCTATTCGAACTGATCTTTCTTCTTCTCCATTGATAGACACATATCAAGCCGGTATTCCATGTCAATGGATCGACATAACAAATTATTATACGAAGTATTCGTCTGTAATTGTTTCGTTGAGCGCCAATATGAATCCAGAGGGCATACTCTGTGAAGGGCAACTAGTATTGGATGCACAAGGAAACTTTATTTGGGAACCGACAAATTTGACGGACATCAATGGCGGAACGGTTTATAAGCCGCAATGTCTGACTGGTACTAATCCATCCACGCTAGAGAATAACTTTGAGCAAGTTAATGTAACTCTATCACAAGATGGTAACGGCTATGTAACGGTAGGTATAGAGTAAGCCATTTTCTTGAATAGAAGACTCTTTTCTATAAGACCAAGTATAAGAAACATAGAAATCCTATCCAATGGATCATCCGACTGTTGATTACTAGATTCGAAAACCATCGACCTATTAAAAAAATTTAATCGTTTGTTTTGAAAACAATTCTATAATTGCTATCTAGTTGAATATTGCGTTTTCCAGAGATTTACTCGGTATGTGAAGCACGACAATTAATAAACGATGTCACATGAAATGAGAAAAATAAGTAGGTCTCAGCCTACCCAGCAAAGCGCAACAGACATGTTGAAAATCTGTTCATATAGCTCTAGTTGAGATATTGATAAATGTTATAGATATTCCACTTTAGGACTATAGCAATTCACTTGTGCCCCATATATTGTATTCGTAGAGAATGCACTGAGATATTGTTTATTAGCAACAATTTTTCTACAATCGATCAATTTACTATAACTAAGACTGGCCAAAAAAAACATGTATGATTAATAGTTTTTTAGTACTGTATGAAATGGCACATTTTCGTAAAGGATTTATGGAAAAGCCGAGCTGTGGTAGAATACCACGAAAACATTGGCGATATGTTGAAACGTTACAGAAGAAAAAATTCCATTTATTGACAGGCTGATAGCATATTATGACTGTTATTCATTTTTTTAATAGTAGTTGACATAATAACCAGGGATAAACTCCCATTTATAATGGTACCTCGTAAATCAATTGTTTTCTTGCTTGTTCTTAGGACCCCTGCTTTCCATACGGTCAGCATATTGGATCACAGAGAAACTGTGGTTTCACATTGAAATCATCGACCAACAAATGTACACCGGGTAGAAAGATAAAGTTAAAGTGTTCGTTGCAAGCAACGACTGGAAACAAGAAACTAATTTCATATATAGTGCGCATATGTGAAAGTTCGGTAGTATTAAATACAGGCGTCGCATGTGACTATGATACCGCCTTGGGCAACGAAGTGATTAAACCATCTTCTGAACACGTTATTCAGTTTATTTGTCCTTCTTATCGTGATCCCCTTGAACCAGGCGGTTTATATTCAATTTATACTGCTCCAATTATGGAACAGCTTGTTCATGCTGAAGTAACAATAACATGTGTTCAAAATAATTAAAACAGCGATTTGGCCTATCTCGTTGCACATGTACCATTGATTGAAGGACAACTATCAAAGACATACTCTTAACTCATACCAAAACATTTTAAAAAAAGCTTTGTAGCGCAGCCCCTTCGAGGCTGAAATATGGAACTCACATATATTCTCTAGCCTCATTAAACTAATACAAAAACGTAAAATGAAAAGTCTCTCGTAAACTATAATTGTTTTCCGGGATAATTAATCACTGAGGTAAAAATGCCCCAATTTCTG